GTTGCTTTTCAGAGAGTGGAAGGGAGAGGGAGAGGGAGAGGGAGACATTGATGTGAGAGAGACACATTGATTGGTTGCCTCAGGCCAGACATGGAACCTGCGATGGAGGTACATACCCTTGGCCGGAATCCAACCTGGGACCCTTCAGTCCATGCGCCGAAGCTCTAATCACTGAACTTTTGTGCCCAGCTAGGGCACTTTTGTTGGTTTGGCTGCATCATGCTTGTTTATCTGAGGAGCAAACAATGACTTTTTGCAGAGAGCAAGGGGAGTGTCCATAGTCCCCCAGGAGATGCCCAAAGCCTCTGCTGAAGGGCCCAGCCCTGGGTCCCACACTGAACTTCTGGGGTCCCTCTAAGAACCCAGACACTTCAGGGAGAGGATTGCCACAGAGATGTCTGCTGATAAAGGGGCACCAGGGCCCTCACTGCCCCTGCAGCCCCCCTGTGCCCAGCCACCAAAACCCCTGGGCTCAGACCCCTGTCCAGCACCTGAGACCCCTGCAACCCCAGGTCCTCCAGCCCCTGCAGTCTCCCCAGGGGTCAGCCTGGATGGATCAGTGAGTGCCATGGAGCCAAGGGCACAGGGCAGCTGCAGCAGCTCAGGACCTCCCTGCCAGGTTCCCCTGGCTGAGGCCAAAATTTCTAAGATTTTGACATGTGTTGACTCAACAGCCCTTATCTCAGGGTTTACACACATGAACCCACAGATGTCAGCCCTAAGGGCAGTAGATGCTTTACAGATAGAAGAGGGAAGCACAGAGAGGTGAAGTGTAATTGTGGAAGGTCACACAACCAGGTGGGCAGTCATAATTTGAACACAGGCTCTAAGGCGGGGACACTGATGTCAAGAGAACTAACTACATATAATTCCATCAATCTAAGGTCCTCCAGCAGAGGTCCTCGAATTTCAAGCACTCCTTATTTTACTGCATTTTGCTTCCTTGTGCTTCACAGATACTGCAGTTTTTACAAATGGAAAGCAAGACCCTCCACCAACAAAAGGGTTATAGCCCACCTTATTTCAATACTCACTTTATTAAGGTGGTCTGGACCCAACCCCGCAGTATCTTCAAGGTATGGGTGTATAAATATTCTAAGCTTCTGGGACCCCAGGATTTCAAAGTCTGGGAGGTCTGAGTCTGGATTTCTGGGGTTCTGGGAGACTCAAAGCCTAGACCAGGGGTTGGCAAACTGTTTTCTGTGAAAGGCCAGAGATCCATTGTTTTCAGTTCTGCAGCCCAGAAACCACCCAGCCCTGCATTAATGGTTAATGCCAGAAGGTTAATGGTCAATAAACGAAGGAGCTGAGCAACGATAAAACTTAGGACACCGAAATTTAAATATTTTGTGATTTCCAAGCTTTGTGTAACAGTATTTTTTAAAATATGCTTTCATTGATTTTTAGAGAAAGAGAAAGGGAGAGGGATCGAGAGATAGAAACATTGATGAGAGAAAAACATCATCAGCTGCCTCCTGCACGCCCCTTCCTGGGGATTGAGCCCGCAACCCAGGCATGTAGCCTCACTGGGAATTGAACCAGTGACCTCCATGCATGGGACGACGCTTACCTGAGCCACACTTGCCAGGGCTAACTTGCCCAGCTCTTATGTGGCACTTATGACACTGCAAACGCCCCAGGCTTTATTCTGAACGCATGGTGAATATCAATGCCTGGGAGACAGACAATTTCACAGATGGGAGGCTGAGGCTGGGCGGGTGGCGTTGCAGGGCTTGCCTCCGTCTCTGGCAGGCAGGCAGGCTGATGGGTGCTTCTGGGGTTTGGAACCATCCAGGCTCATTCTTCTTATTTCTGTGTTTTAGCTCCTGGCCAGCACTGTGGAGGCCCCACAGCTTTCCCTGACAGAAATGCTGTAAGGGGACCCAGCCCCCCAGGACATGGGTGGGCTGCTGTCCTGTGAGTGTGCCTGCCTGGACTGGCATGAGTTGGACACAGGGCTGCAGACACAGGTGGGGGTCACATGCAACTTCTCAGAGATTCCCCACTCAGATGGTGTCCCTAGGGAGTAACTGGTGGCCCCCTGGACAAGCACCAAGGGCCATGGAATGGCAAGGAGACCCATGGCCATGTTGCCAGCAGCCACTGACCACCACAGGCTGGCTTGAGCCCCCTCTCACCACTGGCCTCCACAGTTCCCTGGGGCCCACCTTGCCCTTACCATCTCACAGCTCCCACCTAGACATCAAGAAACTGAACTGTTCCCATACTCGGAGCTGCATTGCCTCATTGTTGACCCTCCCCTGTCCACTGGTCCCCATTTCACAGATGATGAAACTGAGACCCAGAATGGGAAGGACTCGCCTAAGACTACCCAGCTAGGACTTGAACCCTGAAGAAAGGAGTCTTCACATAGATGGAATGGGAGAATGACAGGCAGAGAAAGAGGAAGTAGACACAGAGTGGGGAGCCAGGGATAAGTGCTCTCCAGGGAAGGGGCAGCGGTAGGTCATCTCTGAGCTTTCACAGAGTCCAACCAGCCACTTGTCAAATGTGTCAAATTCCTATACATGCTTCAGAACCCCATGTCATGTCTCCTCTTATGTTCAGCTTTCCTTGACCCCTCCGAGTGGAGGCCCAACTTCCCTTCCAGGTTCCTCCACCCCAGGCCCCTTTTTCTGTCCTGTACTTGCTCACTTGGGGCAGGGGACTCTGTGCCTGGCTCTGTCTTCCCCAAGATGGGCAGCGCTAGAGCTAAGGTCTCCTGGAGCCAGCATCGCCTAGTAAGGGACTGGCCCAGAGCCATCTCAGGGAGCTTTAGATGAATGAATAAATGAACAAATTACTAAATAAATAAATTTATTTATTGTTATTTATTAATTGATTGATTTATCTGTACAAGCAGACATCACCTATTGAGCATCAACGGTGTGCCTGTTCTGGTGCACTTGGTAGCCTCAGACCTAACCCCAGGGCATCTCCTGATTTCAACTTTACGCTATTTCATATACACACACCCATCGCCCCATTATTCCTCAGCCCAGAATTCAAGGCTCCTTCTCATCCCTCCTCCCCTAATCTATCTAATTGATCTCTACATGCTTTCAGCCACTGACAGTCCCTCTAGGTCTTTGCACCTTTTTTTCTGCCAGGAACACAAATCCCTTTTGGACTGGCAAACTCCTACTCATTCACCAGAGCCCCAGCTCCAATGGCCCCCTCAGAGCTCTGAGGACCCCTCTAGTTTCCTTGTCCACCACCCACCTATGGAGTTCCAGGAAGGGAGCTAAATTGGGAGGTGCCTCTAAGTGGTAGGGAGGAGTCCTCATTCGTGCACCAACGGAATTAGGGTCCCACCTCTCAACAATTCCCCGCCTTCCATCACCCTGCACGAAGGGAAACTGAGACCCAGAAAGAGTGAGAGAGCCACTTAGAGGCCCCCAGCAGAGAGAGGGCAGGCGTGTCCTGCCTCGGCAGTCCAGAGCGCCCGCTCCTCCCTGCCTCAGTTTCCCTCCGCGCCCCTGGGGCTGGGGCGCTCCGCGGGGGCGGCTGTAGGCGCGGCAGACTGGGTCCAGGAAGTCCGCGGCCGCAGGAATCCGGCGCATCCCGGCCTTATAAGGACAAGTGCGCCGGGGGCCAATCAGCGGCGGAGGCGGGGCCCGGGCCCGCGAGTCCCCCGCCACCGCACCCGCTAGGCGGTCGGTCCCGCCGTCGCCGCCGCCGGCATGAGCTCCACGCAGTTCAACAAGGGGCCCTCTTACGGGCTTTCGGCCGAGGTCAAGAACCGGGTGAGTGAGGGGCGCCCTCGGTCCCGCCTCCGGAGATCCTGCACCCTCGGACTTCTGCGGGGCTGGGCGCCCCCCTAGGCTCCCCGACATCTGGGGCTCAATGGCTCTGAGACCTGGGGTGAAAGTGGCCCTCCTCCTCCCCAACATCTGCGGCTCTTGAGGCGCCCACCGAGACTCCCGAGACCATGGCGGAGCAGTGAGGTCTGCGATCTGGCACTGCCCCAGCATCTAGGAGTGGTTGGGTGTAACCCCTTCCCCAGTCCTCCCCCATCTGAACCCCACAGTCTTGGGCTGCTCCAGCACTTCAAAGCCTGAGAGAAAACTGAGGGTCTGAGAGGACCCCAGCAGCCCCTTCCTCATCCCCTGGCCACGCTTACGCTTTTGGAGCCACTTAAGCTGTAGGAGGGGAAACAGGTGGGCCAGGTGGTTTTTTTTATTAGGGTGTGGGCACCCCCACAGGAATTTCCCAAGGTCTTATACCTGGGAGGGAAGGCACCAAGGGGAAGTTGGAGCGGAGGAGGCCTGCTTGGGCTGTTCCCTTGTATGTTCTCTTTGTCTTCATCTGACAAAGGAACAGCAAAGGGGTCCACAGGACACCTGGGTCCACTGAGTGTGACCCTAAAATGTGTGGGTTTTGTAACCTGGAAACACGGGGTGGAGCCAGTGGGAGACACTTTTAAAGAAAACTCTTGTGGTCCTGGCTCAGAGAGGGGCAGACAAGTTTGGAGGATCACACAGCTGGGTCCATCTAGGGAAGAGGGAGCAGGGGGTGATCCCAGACCAGGGGGAGGTCTCAGGCCTGATAAGCAAGGGCCTTTCCAGCTGAGGGGGTTTTGCCATTCCTGTGCAAACCCTGCTCCCCCCCCCCCC